GCTCGGAAGTCACCCAAGGGTTGTATTTTATGCAAAAGGGTATTTAATCAACTTCCAAAAAACTATCTTCCTTTGATATCCTTTTGAAAATACACCACGGAAAAAGTATTTTAAAAATGCACTTTTATCCCCACAAAGTAGTTACTTCTACACTCAGGCTTTTAGACCGAATGGAACATTTTGCTCCAATGCACATTTTGCTGTCCATTTGTTTTTATTTTATTTATTTATTTAATTTGAGGCACACACTTACCATTTCTCCCATCACCTCCACTAAAGGAGCCTCACTGGGATTCCAACCATCACAAAGCCACGCTGGAACCGGACCCAGTAAAACACAGGCGCAGACACTCACATGGGCAGGTCAGACCCGACACGGAGCATCACACCGCCGGCTCCCTGCCCGCAGGCGGCCGGGCTGCCCCTGCAGCTGTGGCTCCTCTCCTCACGGGACCGGGGGTGGGAAAAACCACTCCCTCCAGCACAGGGTGCAAAACCGCAGGAGGGAAAGCAGCTTTTCACCAGCAAAAGCTCTCCCTCGGAGGCTGCACCCGCTCCGTGGAGCTGCACGAGCTCGCAGGATCAGTGCTGGACACCGCCATGAGCCCCACCACCTCTGAAGCCCATCCTCAAAATGCCACCAGCCGAGCAGGAGACCTGTTTGCACACTGCAGGGCTCAAACCCTACAGCAAAGCTATAAATCCCTCCACCCAGCTGCTGCTGCTGCCCCTTGCTGAAAGGGTGTGATTTCCCATCGGGGTTTAACCGCGCCGGGTTTTACCTGGAGAGCGGGTGAAGGTCCTGGAGGTAGAGCGCTCCCGAGACTTGTAGGGGTATTTCAGCGTAGTGTCCAGCTGCTTGAAGCTCTCCTTCAGCGAGTGGCTCTGGTAGTACTCGACCAGCTCCTGGGAAGGATGGAGAGGCACCCGGCTGTCTCCACCGTCCTCTGAGCGACTTGCAGGGATGATGCGCTTCAGAGGGGTTACAAAAACCTACCAGCAAGCTTTCAAACTTCTTGGCTTCCGTGATGTGAATCCAGTTGTCCTTCTCCACCACCTTGATGTGCTTCACCTCCTCGTTGAACCTGCGAACAGTAGCAAAGGCACTCAAGAAAACGGCACCGTGTGCTCCAGCCCCGTCTCACCCTCCACGAGTGATTAATACGAAATTACTAAATTAAATATTACTTAATACTGATGGCAAAGCGCTCGGCCTCAGCTGGCCGCTCTCGGATCAGGTAGGTGCCGCTGACGTGAGACTTGAGCAGGTTGTCTGTCTGCTGCCGCTCCATGTTCCCTGCGAACCTGAGCCCAGAGGTTAATTAATTAACTTAATTAACTAAAAATGAATGCATACCTCAAAAATAGGCATGCTTCAGACAACAAGATACATCTTCTTTTTAAAGGCATGAAGTTTGAAAAGGAGAATGGAGAAATAGGCTTAATCCAAAACGTCATGAGCAGAAAGTGCCCTGATCAGAGGGCATGAGTGATGCAGAGCGCAACCTCTTCCCTTTGAAGTGTCTTAACACCTAGAAAATCCCACTAATTGGGATTTGGTCCCCAGGGAAACGAGGCTTCAGGGAGAGCTAGGCAGTGGGGATAATTTGGACTCACAAATTTGCAAACCTGGCTGGAGCCAGAGGGAAGGAGCACGAGGCAAACCAAGCACAGCCTCTCCCGCTAAGGCAGGAATTGCTTCCTTCCTCCCAAAACATTTTTCTGGGTCTGGAAAACACAGAAAATGGGAAGAGAAACCAACATCTCTCCTTTTGCCTCTGATCCTCTCCATTAGCAAACAAATTCCCACTGACGCTGCAAGGGTTGCACCAGGTTTCCAGACCCAAGTCCCGCTGCAGCGGCCACAGAGCATGGCCAGCCTGCACTGAGGATTCGCTGTCACAGTTCATTCCTGACAAAATCACAATTAAAAGGCAGGTTTGACAGATCTTTCCGGCTGTGTCCAGCACACTGCCCGGCGAGAAGCAGGGGGACTCACCACGGGTACGCCGTGTAGTCTATCTCCCGCGAGGGCGGCCGGCTGTTGGGAGGCTGCAAAGAAAGCGTCGCTTATTACGGATGAGCCAGCATCTCATGAGGCTACAGATCACGTGCGGGATGCTCCTCTCCGCGGGAGGGTTTCTTTCTGTCTGCCGAAGCCGGTTTTGAATTATTGGCTTCGGCGGCGGAGGGCAGTGTTGTAGCTGAGCATTTCTCTCTCAGTTTCCCAGCTGTGAGGAGCAGGCTGCATTTTTTCGTTCGCCTGAGCGTTTTTTAATTGGGAAGCAGCTGGCAGCGTTACAAAACACAGTCAAAATAAATACAAGAAAGTGTAGTTTCCCCATACTGTGACTGATCTGGAGTGCTCTGCTCCTGAGCCAGTCTGACTGAGGAGGAGCCTGGACCTGGTCACATCGACCCTGACCTTGGGAACAGGGCTCAGACCAACCTGAGCAGATATTTGCAACCACAGGATGACAGATCCACTTCCTCGCTAATTCAGCCACTGTAAAAGGCCTCACTCAAGATCCAGGGGCTTACTGGAAGGACCAAGGTCCCAAGCAGAAGGCTGAGAAGAGCGACAGGCATCTCCCGTGACAGCCCCCGGCTCCATCTCCTCTGCGGCACTTACCCTCGCATCAACAGGGCAGGGCTTTACCGACGAGCTGGGAAAATAACCCGACTTCTTCGTCTGCAGCAGCCGTCCCTGCAAAGCCAAGCTGGGTATCAGCCTGGGGGAGCAATGCTTTTGCCACGTAGGGATGGGGACAGGCTCCAACTCCTCCCACAGCCACCTCCCACCCCACCAAGCACGTCCCTGCACTCTGGGAAAGGCCACAAACGAAAGGGACGATGCACAAGTCACTAGCTTAAAACTTCCCGGCAACTTCGCGAGGGGAACTGCTCTCACCTCCCACCACGACGAATCGGGGTCCCCCCTCAGCAGCTCGATCACGTCCCCGATTTGAAACGTCAGCACCGGCTTCCCAGGGGGGGCTGGGTTTCCGTGATAATTCTGAACTGCCACCATTTTAGGACCTGGGAGAGACGCAAAACAGTTGCGTCATCTAGTCTCTTGTCAACAAAAAAAATACAAACAAAATACCCCTCCTGAAGCCTGCTATTCCTTATCCTGTGAACCATAAATCTAACGGCACTGGCAGGCAGGATTTTGGGGCAGAAAGCACGAAAGCAGAAAGGAACAGTTCCCGCAGCACATGGTCTTGGCTCCCGCAGTTACATGGATGATTGAGTTCCCTGAGCAAAAATAAACCCATGGAGATCACAGACAAACTGAAGCTCCAAGTCCCATCCCTGCACCTGGACTTGAACCTCGTTATGCTCTCGTTAGGTGATGCCCAGCTGGCACCGAGCCCTGCCGGTTCCGCGGTGACACCAGCAATTGCAAAAGGGACCAGCGAACACTTGGCTTCCACTGAATTTCAGATGGACCTGGGACCCAAACACCCCTGAAGCTTGCAGTCAAAGTCCAGTCACCTTGCCAACAACAGCACATTAAATAAGCTTCCCCAACTGCACTAAAAACACAGTGTTTATCTTCCGAATGCTTCCCCACCTCTGCCTCTCCCTGCCCAGTGAGAGCACTCTGTGCTTGCCTTTTTTTTTAAATCCAAACCAACAATTTGGTTCAGGTTTCTTTTTGCCAGGCTTGCCTTTCCTTTCATCAGGAAAAGCACAGAAACAAATTGTTCCCTCTCCTCCGAGCCAAAGCATGGGCAGGGCAGGCCCAGCACTCTGTCCAAGCTAGTTTTAAGCAAAGGAAAATAAAAAAAACCCCACAGTGCAGTAAGCATTAGCACTAATGGTGTGGAGAAGCACAACCCTTGCTTTGGGGAACAGGGACAGGAGAGACCTCAGGGTCCCACCGCTTGCTGTGAGGGTGGCACGGGACCCTTCTCTGCAGCCACTGGCTTCGGAAGGAGCTTTCCCCTCCCACATGCTCGGTATTAGGGACAGCTGCAGCCCAGCTGCTGTCTCTGCTTGCCTTCCTGCAACCCAGCAATGTCCTTACCAGGTCCAGCACTCAGTGAATCCTGCAAAAAGAGAAGAAAAAGTCTCTATGAGGGCACGGTGGTCTCAGCACTCTCCTCGAGCCCCTGCCCTAAGCCACCGGGATGAGAAACCTGCCAAAACCTCCCTGGTACCTCCCAGCCCCTGGTGCTCACCCCAAGCACCTCCTGAGGGCTGCTGGGCTGCACAACCTGGGCCAGTTTTAAGCTGCAGAAGAGGCCAATGGTCTCCAGACCTGCCTCCCAGGTTGGTGGGACCCCCCCAAAGGCCAGTGCTGGCTCCTCCCATGAGCCACCCAGACCAGGCAAGGGTACAGGCTCTGCTCGGGGCAGAGGGGGCTGTGGGGAAAGGGGCATTGAACAACATACCTGGTCTGCTGAGGAACCTGCAAGTGAAATGGTGAAATCAGTGGTTAACTTAGCATGCACAAACCCCCCCATTTTCTGTTTATCTTGATGTTATGAGTATCAATAAATCAGCATTAATGCCTGAATTTGATGGAGAAAGCACAAGGCAGATGCTATGTCCCTTGAGTTGTTGCTCTGCACTGGGTGGGCAAGACCCAGGGAGGGACTGGAGCCAGATTGGGACATTTTCTCATCTGCACAAAGTTCTGTGACTTTTTTTTTTCTCCCTCTCTCCACTCCCCATCCAATTCTCCCCAAAGCCACTCCATGACAGCAGCAGGGCTCTGACCTGGGAGACAGAGACAAGTCACAGGTTCACCCAATTTAGACGAAGGACACAATTTTTTGCTGTACTATGGGGTGTCTGGTATCTGGAGATGAGGTCTCCTCCTTGTGGGAAATGTGATCCCTGGTGCAGACCCTTCCTGCTTTCACTCACCAACATTTTCTGATGAAGAACTCATCACCTCTCCTCAGCGCCCTCCCAGCACGAGGGCTGAGTGCATCCCACCCAGTGCACAGAGCTGCTGTGGTCCCCGGACACACACAAAATTCAGCTCCTTGTTTCAGGGGATTTTGGTTGGTTTGCTGTTTTTTTTAAACCACCAGCCAATGTGAATTACAGCTGCGGGAGGTGGGTAGGAGCATACTTTGTTATGCATTAACAAACACGAGGGCTTTAGAGAGTGAATCTTTAAAATCATTCACATGCATTCTCCTCCTTGGCACAAGCTGCTCTGATGTGATATAACTCACCCATCTTGCAGGGAGGAATGATCTCCAAGCACTCCTTATGAGCACCAGCTCCACATTTGGGGCAAAGATAGCCCTGGTAGAAGGTTCCTCTGTGCAAAACAAGAAGTCAGAGAGTCCTAATTCAGCCCCAGCTTTGCGATTTTCTTTCCTTGTTTTAATGCAGTTGCAGAAAAGCTGGAAGCACGTTGCTCACCTCAGGAACATCCTGCAGGCTTTGCAGTTGGTAGTCTTTTCAAATGTGTACATCTGAAAGTTATGGTGATTTGCATTGGCTTTCTCTGGCTTGATGTTGGACCTAAGGGAAAGGATCAGGGGGTTATCAACCTGTCCCTACAAGCCACGCTGCACTCGTGACATGTCGCAGCAGCCTCTGTTTGCATTTCAAAGCTTGGAAACCACATGGACAGATACGAAACCAAGTGTGAAGCAAGGCTTCACTGTGCAGAGAGAGGATTTTGCCCATCAGCCTTCCCCTGGGGCAACACTCGTGCATTTGGCCCTTGCCCGAATCCATCAACAGCTCAGACCCACCAGCATGGGGCAAGCCCCTGCCCTGGTCAGGACCAGTGCCCTGCGACACACCACCCATGCTCTGCTGCAGACACCCAGGGAAGGTGATTTCATGCTGGATCCAAGCTCCCTTTGCACAGAAACCCACCCAGCAAGCCCATGCAAGGTGATCCACGACAGCCTTTGCTATTGGAGCTGGTCTCCAGTGACCTGCGGGTCCAAGACACCGCATGCTCGGGCTAGAGCAGCTACTCATGCTCACATTGCCATTTCAAACTGCTCCATCCACTTCCTCTTCATTTCCTCCGTCTTGCAGAAGAACTGGAAGCCCTGCTTCCCCTGGAGGTGAATTAGGTAGAAGCCGTATGACCACTGCAAGAGAAACCGAGAGAGTTAATCACACCGGAGCAGCCAAATGCAGAGTGCTTTCGTTCAGGCATCTTAACTTCTCCCAGCATCTGCCCTTGCCCCTTCTTCTGAACGACTGCTCAACCTTTGCAAAGGTCACGGC